AAGGAGCCTGCAGGCTACGCTTTAGAGGACGAATCTTCAGCCCACCTGGACAACTGCAGAGGCGCCACCAGTTCCCTACCCAGCACCAAATACCCCCCGCCCAGCCTCACCTACCCCAGAACCCAAGCTGCCTGGCATGTGCCACCCACATCCAGCAGTCTCTGTCCAGATGTTTCGACACCTGCTTACACTCACGCCCATGAATACACAGGTGCAAACGCCTCCCTCAGGTGTCCTCATACCTGAACCTGGCCTGTCCACCCTGACCCCGCCCACCGGGACCACTCTTCCACCACAAAACACAGCAGCAGGGCTGGTGCCCTGGCTCAGGGGTAGAGCACCCGCAGCAAGTTCAATCCCCCTTACTACAAAAAAAAAAAAATTTCCTACTGGAGGTGCAGCCTGGCCCACTCCACCAGCTCACACCCACAGCCCCTTCCAACAGCTGCGTGGAGATCCTCACCTGACACCCTCCGCCCGGGGCCCGCGCCCGAGGCCCCAAACACAACGGGACGCCCCAGCTCCGACGGACGCACCCCCAGACGCCCGTCCGCAGCGACCGGCTGGAGGGTGCCCTCCCTCCGGACCGGGCGCCGGCACATCGGAGAGGTAGGACGGACACCCTGACACCCCATCTCCGAATGCCCACGCCCTCCCGCCAGCTGCGGGCCGCGGCGCCCACCAAGCGCCCCGGGGCTCGCGGGACACCTGCTGGGCCCGGGAGGGGGGAGGCCCGACCCTGCGCTGCCCGCGGGCGCCCGCCCGCCCGGCCCTACCTGCGGCTGCCCCGCCGCGGGGCTGGCGCGAGGCCGAGGTGCTGGCGCGGAGCTGGGCGGTCGCGCGCCCTGGCCGCCCGTCCGCGCTCGGTGGCCCGGCTCGGCTCCCGGCTCCCCACCCGCCCGGCTCGGCTGGGCTGCGGCTGGGCTCCGGTCCGTCTCTCCTCCGCCCGCCCGCAGCTCTGATGTCAACGTGGGCGGAGCGTGCGGCGGAGCGGGGACAGGGAGGGGGACGGGGAGGGGGACCGGGCAGCCCAGGCGTTTTGCCAGCTTCCTGCCCTTGGAGCCCCAGGGGGCAGATGGGGTCTGGAGAGGGGTGTGTGTGTGTGTGTGTGTTGTGTGCATGTATGAGTGTGCACAGGTGTGTGTGTATGCGCACTCACGTGTCCATCCTGGGCCTGTCCCTGAGCTTTTTGATCAAGATTGGCCCCCCACTCCTTAAGCCACAGTTCCACTTCTAGTTTTTTGGCAGCTAATTGGAGATAAAGAGTCTCATGGACTCTCCTGCCTGGCCTGGCTTTGAACCAAGGTCCTCAGACCGCAGCCTCCTGAGTAGCTGGGATCACAGGTGTGAGCCACCAAGCACAGGGCTGCAAGCAGGATTTGAACTGGGAAAGAAACTGGCAGGTTTCACCCTGTGGCCTGGTAGCTTTGTCCCTTCCCCTTCCCCCAGCCCAGAGCTCAGAATCAGCCCCCCATGAAGGGCTCTGAAGGGTTTGGAGGAATAAAGAAAATGGCCAGCAGGGGCAAAGGGGAGCCCCAGCCCTGCACAGAGAGACAGGAACCAGGGAAAGGAAGTGGGACAAAGTGGACCAAGGTCCCATGTGACTGGGTGGCCGCCAGGGCCCTTGGAGGGGGAGGCAGTGGCTGGGGGGGTGCAGAAGCCAGATCCCAGAGCTGCAGGCATGGGGCCAAGGACCTGACCGAGGTCAGTTTATGCAAGGCTCCTCGGGCATAAATCCAGGGCGGGTTGCAAGAGGGGAGATCTCGCCAACAGAAATGGGTACTCGGCCAGCCCAGGAAGCCCTCTCTCTTCCCCTGGTGGACTTGCTGGACTTCTCCCTCCTAGATTCCTGCATTTTCCAGCTAGAGAGGGCCAGAGGATCTTGCTGGTACCCCAGCTCCTTTCTACTAGCTTTGCTCTCCTTCACAGGATGGTCTGTTTTTAGGCCTGTGTCATAGAACAAGATAGCTGAGGTTCCTCCAAGGGCCGATCTGGAACATGCTTTCCTTTGCAGAACCTCAGTCTCTTCCTCTGGAGCATGATGGCAATATTGACATCTGCTAGAATTCTCCTGAGAATTCCATGAGGCAGTGGATGTGAGGTGCTTAGAACATTGTAGCTCAAAACACAACGATGAGACTCCACATCAACCCTGGCACAAAGAAAGGACCTTATTTGGCCAGAGACAAGTGGCAGAATCTCAGCATGACACATAGCCTGTAGTCTAGCTAGAGTTCACAGTCTATAGTGAACTAGGGTCTATAGGCTCTCTCTGTCTTTTTTTTTTTGTCAGTCATGGGCCTTGAACTCTGGGCCTGAACACTGTTCCTGAGCTCTTGAGCTCAAGATGAGCACTCTACCACTTGAGCCACAGCGCCTCTTCCGGTCTTCTGGTAGTTAATTGGAGATAAGAGTCTCGTGTACTTTCCTGCCCAGGCTGGCTTTGAACCTCGATTCTCAGATCTCAGCCTCCTGTGTAGCTTACAGACATGAGCCACCAGCACCCAGCTAGGTTTTCTCTTTTGTGATACTAAGGATCAAACCTGGTGCTTTGCCTAAGTGAGGCAAGTGTTCTACCACTGAACGACATCCCCAGTTCTTGGTGTTTGGAGACGGAGTCCTGCTCTGCAGCTCAGGCTGCCCTCAGATTTGAGGTCCTCAATGCTAGGATTACAGACATGCAACACCATACCCTTACCTCACCTTTTCTTCTTTTTTTTTTGTCATTCATGGGGCTTGAGCTCTGGACTTGGGCACTGTCCGTCCCTCAGCTCTTCAGGTCAAGGTGAGTGAGTGTTCTACCACTTGAGCCACAGCGCCACTTTTGGTTTTCTGGGGGTTAATTGGAGATAAGAGTCTCATGGATTTTCCTGCCCCAGCTGGCTTTGAACTGTGATCCTCAGTTCTCAGCCTCCTGAGTAGCTAGGATGACAGGTGTGAGCCACTGGTACCGGCTTTTTTAAAAAAATTTTTAAGATGAGATCTTACTGTTTTGCCTAGGCTGGTTAGTCTTGAACTGAGCTCAAATGATTCTCCTGCCCACCCTCAAGTACCCTGTAAAAATATTTCTACTAAACAAGGAAGACATGATCACTGTAGGAAAATTACATAAAATGGTCAGATCACAAAAAGTTCCTTTCTAGCACTTGCCTTCAAGTGAAATAATCCGAGTGGTGCCAAGTAACAGAGTCCCTGACTGAAACCAGCTTTAGCAGAGAGGAATTTATAGTTCACCAAAGCTGGCCCAGGAGTGAGGGAAAACCACAAGAACCCAGGGCTTGGAGACTGGGACCAGAGACCTAATGCAGAGGAGCTGCCTTCTTTCTCTCACAGCTCTCCTTGCCCCCCACTCCCACTTTTTTTTTTTTTGCCAGTCCTGGGACTTGAACTCTGAGACTGGGCGCTGCCTCTGGGCTCCTTTTGCTCCAGGCTACTAGCCCTCTGCCGCCTGAGCCACAGCTCCACTTCTGGCTTTTTCTGTGATTAGAGATAAGTGCCTGTGGTGTTGCCTGTTCAGGCTGGCTTTGAACCACAATTCTCAGACCTCAGCCTCCTAAGTAGCTAGGATCACAGGTGTGAACCATGGGTGGGGACCTCTCCTTGCCTTGATCTCCCCTTTCCTCTGCTGGCCAGACAGGGAAGAGAGAGACAGAGACAGAGACGGGGGGGGGGGGAGAGGTGCCACAAGGATAGAAGAGTGATCTAGCTGAAAGGAAATGGCAGGCAAGCACCAACAGATCCATCTCAGCCCAGGTAAGCAGAGCAAACTTTTTTTTTTGTCAGTTGTGGGGCCTGAACTCTGGGCCTGGGCGCTGTCCCTCAGCTCTTCAGCTCAAGGCTAATGCTCTACCACTTGAACCACAGTGCTACTTCCAGTTTTCTGGTGGTTCATTGGAGATAAGAGTCTCATGGACTTTCTTGCCCTGGCTGGCTTTGAACCGTGATCCTCAGATCTCAGCCTCCTGAGTAGCTAGGATGACAGGCATGAGCCACAGGCGCCGGGCTCAGGAATAACTTTTTTGGCATATTTTCTTCCCCAATGTTGTAGGCATATACACACATACACTTCTGGTGAGCAAATTTCACAGGGCTAACCCAGAAGGAGTCAAGGAAAATAAACATATGAAGAAAAAGGGAATTGTCTTTTCATCTCCTTTGTTTTCAAACAGATGACAAACTAAAACTAGGTCAGGTATGTCCCTCCTTTCCCTGCATTCTGCAAACAGAAGCCTTGTGCAGCCAGGGAAGCCTCTGTCACTCCAGCCTCCCTCTATCAGTTCTTTCTTTCTTTTTTTCCTGGGGCTTGAACTCAGGGCCTGGACACTGTCCCTGAGCTTTTGCTCAAGGCTAGCACGCTACCACTTGAGCCACAGAGCCACTTCTAGCTTTTTCTGTGTATATGATCCTGAGGAATTTACAATGAAGACACACTTCAGGATAGAGAAATATTTACTAGACAATGGGTTAAGGGCTGGGAAGGTGGCTCAGTGGTAGAGCACTTGCCTTGCATGCATGAGGCCCTGGGTTCGATTCCTCAGCACCACATAAGCAAAAAGAAAAAAGCCAGAAGTGGTGCTGTGGCTCAAGTGGTAGAGCGCTAGCCTTGAGCTGAAGAGCTGAGGGACAGCGCCCAGGCCCAGAGTTCAGGCCCCACGACCGGACCCCAAAAAATACAAAGAAAGAAAGAAAGTCGGGCACCAGTGGCTCAAGCCTGTAATCCTAACTACTCGGGAGGCTGAGATCTGAGGATCATGGTTCAAAGCCAGCCCAGGCAGGAAAAGTCCATGAGACTCTTATCTCCAATAAACCACTAGAAAACTGGAAGTAGCACTATGGGTCAAGCGGTTGAGCGCTTGCCTTGAGCTGAAAAGCACAGGGACAGCGCCCAGGCCTGTCCCTGACCAAAAAAAAAAAACAAAATAAAATAAATAAGATGAAGAAAATAAGAAAAGATGCCTTAGAGGCCTGCATGCAGGGTGAACGGGAAGAGAAGAGGCCAGCTAGTAAAACGGGGTGAGGGCTTGAACCACAGCAGAGGGGAGGAACACAAGGGACAGGGCGGACATCAGAGACGCCAAAGCCCAGGTGCCGTCGGGGAGGTTCTGCCAGCAGAAAGCAGAGTCTGAGCTCGGGCAGACAGGAGGCAGGAAGCCTTTACTAGCTGTATCCTGAGGCCACTCTGAGCTCTCCTGTTCTAGGTCTCTGGGGGTTTCTACCTTGTAATGCTCCGCCTCGTCTTCAGGGGGCTTCAGAAGTTCCTCCAGCGTGCGCACCTCCTCGCTGGTGATATCGGCACAGTAAGGCTCCACGGATGCCCAAAACCTGTGGGGAGAAGCAGATCCTGAGAGGGAATCCACGCTCTTCCGCACTCAGCCTTGGGTCCCAATAAGCTTCCATTTCGACGACCCCAAGATCCTCCAGCCCCCTTTTGTGTTTTCTGGCCCACAACCTGTTAGGAGCATCATTCTTTGGGATCCGTGGCACATCGATTGGGTCATCAGTGAATTCATATTCCTGGATCTTGGGCTGAAGGTTTTTGGATTTGGGTCGCCCAGGGCCAGGGCCTGGCCCATGTCCCATCTTCCCTTCCAGTTTCTGCTTCTTGGGCTTCCCATGTTTGGGGGGAGCTCCAAGCTCATGGTCTCGACCCAGCTTCAGGAATCTGCGATCACCTTTCTTATCCTGCCAATCAGTGAGGATCTGAAATTTACAGAGATGGTCACTGAAGAGAGGGGAAGACAGGACAACTCTCCAGTGAATAACTTGAGTCTGCAATCCAAAGAGGCTCCCAGGTTTTTCCCCATTTCTTTTATTTAACAAACTCCTACTCACCCTTCAAAATGTACTTTTTTGGTGCCTTTGTCTCACATAACTTTATTCACATACTGCTCACCTTCCTACTCACTCTGATTCTTCTCTTTATCCACAAGCTAGTCACACACAGTTCACCAGGAAGGTCAAATAAATGACCACAAGCCAGCGTATGTCAACACTGGGAAAAATTACTCTTTTGGTGAAGTCAAACATGCCTCCCAGGAAGCCTTTTTTTTTTTTTTTCTGGTGGGTCATTAGGCTTGAACTTAGGCACTGCTGTCCCTGAGCACTATAGAGCGTTAGTTCAAGTTAGCTCTACCACCTGAGCCATAGCTCCACTTCCAGCATTTTCTGAGATTGATTGGAGAGTCTTATACACTTTCTTGCTCAGGCTGGCTTTTAACTGTACAGATCTCAGCCTCCTGAGTAGCTAGGATTACAGGTACAAGCCAGGGGCACCAACTTAAGCCTCCTTCTCCTCCTTCTTTTTTTTTTTTTTTTCCAGTCCTGGGGCTTGAATTCAGAGACTGGGCACTGTCCTTGAACCTCTCTATGCTCAAGGCAAGCGCTGTACCTCTTGAGCCACAGTATCACTTCCAGCTTTTTCTGTTTATGTGGTACTGAGGAATCGAACCCAGGGCTTCATGCATGCTAGAAAAGCACTAAGCCACATTCTCAGCCCCTTACACCTTCCTTTTAAACATCATCCAGCTAGCTAGGAAGCCTGCTCAGCACAAATTACCTGGGATTCTTGGGTGCTACAATGTAACTAACCATGCCATATCACAACCCTCCTCAGAAAGCTTTCATGAATCCTTGGGATGCCAGGAAGCTCATTGGCCCTGGCCCTGTTCCCAGGATCCAGCATGATCAGTGCCCAAGTCTCAGGAGCTCATGCAGTGAGGAGTATCAGTTGTATCAACAAACAACATTTAGCCGGGTGCCTGTGGCTCATGCCTATAATCCTAGCTACTCAGGAGGCTGAGATCTGAGGATCATAGTTCAAAGCCAGCCCGGGCAAGAAACTCTGTGATACTCTTATCTCCAATAAACCATTAGAAAACCGGAAGTGGTGCTCAAGGCAGAGCGCTTGCCTTGAGCTGAAGAGCACCGTGACACCACCCAAGCCCAGAGTTCAAGCCCCACGACCGACCAAAAAAAAACAAAATTGAGGTGCTTACTTAGTGTCAGATGCATTTTGCTGAACCTCTGTGAAAATTCTCCTCTAATTCTCACAAAGGTTCTAGGGTAGGTCCTGCTATTTGGCTAATTTTGTAGATAGGGAAACTAAGGCTTGGGGAGGAGGTACTTTCTTCAAGTCACATAGGGAAGAAATAGCAACACAAGCAAGTGCTGAAGTCAAGATTCAAATCTAGGTCTCTCCACTCTCTATAGTGTCAAATCCCTAATGCCCAAAACTGTCCTATGTCTCTCTCCTGACTAAGAGCATATTGGTGGCAGGAGTCCACAGAAGCTTAGTGGATGAGAACTCCTGACCACATGCAGAGGTATTTTACAAACTAGACTCAGTCCTTCAGCCTTAGCAGATGGAGGTAACCTAATGACTGATACCCTAACTCCAACGTCTGTCTCTGGTGATGTCCCCTCTCTGGGACATCACCTGGGTTTCAGCCTCCAGCACACGCAGGCGGCGGCTCGCAGAAGACAGCAGTGTCTCCAGCTCCAGCTGCAGGGTGTCCAGCTCCTCGATACCGATGCCATCATCCTCCGAGCGGGCCAGCACCGCCGTGTAGCGGGGACAGACCTTCAGGTGGTCCACAGACTTGAAGTCGTGGAATTGCAATGGGCAGTCCTTTAGCTCACTCATGGCCCAGGAGATGAGACCCTGTGGAGCTGGAGAGAGGGCCATACATGAAATAGCAGGAGAAAAACCCAAGGGAGTTTTCCATGGGGAAGAGCCTCAACAAGGAAGTCATGTTTGAGGGCACAGCTCCTACTCAGAGAGCACACGGGGTACCGAGCTGGAGCAGAGCTTATCTCATTCAATTCCTCGTCCAAACCCGGAAGCAGGAGCCACTCAGATCTCCATTTTACAAAGGAACAGCAAGGGAAAGAGTAGGTGTGTGCAGTCTGAAGCCAGGGCATCTCCTCTCTGCAGCCCTGACTACCAAGGTATCACAGTGCAACGGGCTCGCCTTCTCATCTCCTGGGTTCTGCTGGGCCTTTAATTTTCAAGCCTCCAATCCTTCCAAGGTTCTCGGGGGCCATCCAGATTCTGCTCCTCTCACCACGCCTTTCCCCCTACCCGAGGTGGTTTGAAACACGCGCTGCCCAGACAGAAGAACTAGGTCAAGCCCGTTCTCTACTTCATGTGCCCTGAACACGTTTCTACACCTGAGTCCAGGCAGGTCCCACATGCACGATGGGCACGAGAGGGCTCGGTCTGTTTCTCCCGTAACAAGTGCGGCTCTGTAAAATGGGGTCGACCACAGTACCTACCTCCCTGGGATGTTCGGAGGATTAGGAGTTGATGCTCGTCAAGAGCCCAGCTCAGTGCCTGGTACACAAGTGGGACTGCTTAATGGCTGACCCCAGCCGTGGGTCGCCCCAGGGTCCCGCCTCCAGGGTCCCCGTCCTCTAGAGAGCCCCTAACGCGGCCCCCAGGCCTCCGACGGCTCCCTGGCCGCGGAAGGGGCGGGGAGTCCGGGGCGACCGGAGCAACCGCCTCGGAACGGGCTTATGGGCGGGCCCCCCGCGGCTGACGAGGGGCGGGGAGCCGGGCGGGGAGCCCGACCAGCCTGCGGGGCCCGGGGTGCGGGCAGGCCCGGCGGGGCGAGGGCGATAGGCCCTGGGCGAACCCTAGGAACCGCCGGGACGGGGTGGGGGGCGGCGGCGCCGAGCCCCCGGGGCGGCGGGCAGGCGGGGCCCGGAGAAAGGACGTGAGTGCACACCGGAAGGAACGTAGGCCTCTGCGGCCTCGACTTGTCCTAATTTGGTACCCAACTTCAGGTCGGGTTGGACTATTGCGTGGCTGGGGGAGGCGGAGGCGGAAGCTAGAAATAATGGAAGGCGCAAGCCAGAGCTAGATACGTGCGTACCGGGAAAGCCATAACGTAGCGCACTAATGCAGGGCTGGAAACATACCAGAAGGGCCCTGGCGTCCAGAAGTCCTAAGGAACCCGGGCTCTTGGGCTCGCCTCCCCCCCCGCTTGGACCAGCGATGGTATCGCCCGGAAGTCGGGGCGGAGACTGCGGCTGCGCTGCTCGCAAAAGGTCAGGCGCCGTGGGGCTGGCGACTTCCGTACTTCCGCTTTCCGGCCCAGCCAGCGCCCGCGATGGTGAGAGCGCCGGGGCCCGCTGTGGGGACCCCGCACCCCCTTCCATTCAGCCTCGGGGTTGTGGGTTGCGGGGAGCCGTCGCTTGCTTCGGAGGCCCGTGGCCGTG